AGCGCAGTAATCATGGCAAAGGTGTTCCCCAGGGCGGCGAAGGCCCATCAAGGAACGATCAGGTCAGCAAGGCATACGTGAGGACAGTTGATGGGCCTCTAGTGGGCGTCGACTTAGGCCCAAGATGAAGACACCGCGAGACGGTGTGATGAGAACACCCCTGAGGTTAGACACTAGGGCTGGAATATTCCTATAATGTACCGTAGCAGTTGAGGGGCACTGTTGTAAACTCTGTAAAGTGGTAGTTGAACCCTATAAATAGGGAACACTTATAACTGTGAGAAGGAGGTTGGGGAAGCAATTATGAAACCCTAGTGCTTGTGAGTCGGTACTTAATCCTCACTCTCTCCTTCAGGCAGAGCCTGAGCCAAAGCCCGAGTCTGGAGCATCGGCCAAAGCCGAGGGCCTCCGCCCCTTTCTCTTACTCCTACTTGGCCAAAGCCTACTGAATCCCTCGTTTAGCGACCTTCTATCTGGAGCCTCCGACAGAGGATTTTGTCCGACAGGAGTGCGCTGCGTTCAAGGACCTCTGCCCGTCGTAGGCGGAGACCTCGACCTAAGATGAAGGCCTCCGCCCACTTCTCACCCTTGTTAGAAACCGATGTTTCAACAGTGGCGCCCACCGTGCTCAGCACGATTTTTTTTTTCGAGAGTTGAGAGTTGGAACCTTCACGTCAGTTTCATAAAAAAGAATCCCAAAGACCTCCGGGTGCTCAACCTTGGCACCAAGCTTTTGGCCTCTATGCAATGGAGGTTCAACTACGCGGGACGTCATTCTGACAGCCTTCGCACCTCAACTACGGTTCAGATAAGTCAGCTTTAATTCATCAAAAACCCTTGTTATAGCAATCGCAGATCTGAGCCACTCACCTGCTACCTTGCTACCTCCGACAATCCAATAAGCCACGTCCTGGTTTACAGGACCTCCGGGTCTCTGAGCTCCGGAGTCTGGTTTGCACCATTGCATGCAACATCAACTTCTTAGCGTTAGCCTCCTCTCATTTTCTTAACAAATGCATTGCTACTTTCATTTCTAGTGTTTGTTGCTAACAGCAAATGTGTGGAAACAAAGTCACAAGCTAATAGGCCAGGCCTAGGCAACCTCCACCATACGAAACGTCCTACGTGCGAACGCATGATACTCAGTTTCCGCAGGCCGTGGCATCCACTCCACCGTCTCCACACTCGCCTTCGACGCCCGGGCGCCCGTGTCCCGGAACACCTGGACGCCCACGACGACGGCGCCCCCAACCTCGACGACGCCAATGGTTTTGCGGTGCTCATGACCTTTTGCGTGCCACACCGCCGTGTTCGCTGTGCACCCATCAGGCAGCATTGCACCCGCCATAGGCCGTGGCCTAGGCTCGCCAACGCTCAACCTCCTTCAAGATGCGCGGCGTCGACTGCTAAAGTCGAACAGCCCAAACGCCAAAGCAAAGGCTCTACCTGCTACGACAGTTCACCTCCGGCCAGCAAACACATACTGTACCATCGTACGAAGGCCAGATAAGTAACGTATACTCATATACTCTCTTTCCAATTCAGCAGTAATTATTGCCTCACCATTAATCCCACACAATACCAATTCGTACACCTAGTCTGCTTACAGTCATGGTGCACCTACATACAGTAACTGTGCAATGCTTCACTAAGCTTTGTCCACAGTACAAAGATGTGCAGAGTCTATATAAGCCTTCCAAGATTTGGATCATACAGGGCAGTCCAACACATACATCCATGAGTTTTCTTTGTTACAAAACATACATCATCTACGAGTCCTAGACGTTTTGACAAAAATATATAGCCTCCGGCTAACCAATAGAGCACGCATAGTGTTCCCATTGTTTGCCTGCAGGTAATCAAGTGACCACTACATCACCATAGCAAGCACTGCCAGCGACCTGACGTGGCCATCGTCCTTAGCGTCTACGCCGGCCAGAACGCAAGCCCAAAGGCTGACATCGCATCGCCCAAGAAGCCGTCGGCACAACCAAAAAGGACCAGTACACGAAGGCTTCGGCCCAGCGACCTCCGCGCGGGCGCGGATGCTGCATCCTTCGCCACAACTACGGAACAACTCCAGCCACGTCAAGAAGTGAAGGGGGCCAACTGATTTTATTCGCAGCTGCTGGCCCAGCATGCTGGCAACGAAGGATTTGACCTCCGATGCAAACCGCAGCTAAGTTGCTTATCTTTTCGCAACTTCAAATTCTTGAACTACAACACCAAAGGTATCAAAATAGCATAAGAGAATACTTTTCATCAGCTTATAATCCTAAATTTCGCCCTTGTCATTTATTTTTACACATTCTTGGTCTAACCTCTGCCTCTCGAGGCAAATTTCGTAAACCAACCTTCATGTACAACTTGTCACCAATGTGACCAAAAAAGTTGTTGCAGCCTTCGCCACATCAAAAGCATGGCCTGAGTGGCTATACATGCTTGGCCCAGGCCCGACTAAACTTAAAATAATTTTTAACTTTTGTCGAATCTTTTTTTTACTAACATGCAGGTCACCAGCACTGTAAGACAAATGTTTCCATTAGCAATAGACCTTCGACAGTGACTAAACCTTTGAGCCGTCTAACGCTAACACTTTCTCTCATTTTTGCAGGTTGTGTTATTCAATCTCTTTCTCAAGTATTTATAATATGCATCAACACAATGTTATTGTGTATAACCTTCGTACGGAACTGATTACTTATATATTCAATACTAGTTACATCCATACCCGTGCAAGTCCTCAAATGATAACCTTCGCAAGCTATCTGAACTATAACCCTCTCATATAATGCAGAGCTTATCTTTTATTCAAACTTTACCATCATTTTTGCAGGATGCATAATAACTTTACACCTTTTAAATATTTTTGCGCAAATGCTATCATTCTCATCATCGCATACATATATTGCGTAAGTACATTGCAATGCATGGCCCGGGCCACCCGGAAGAAGTCCCAAGAATACACGGGCGCCATGACTCTATGCATCAAAATCCTGGAAGAAGTCCCGAAACAACACGGGCACCAGGTCACGAAGCTAAGGCTGTCGTGCCCAGAATACACGGGTGCCGTGACTCTATGCGTCAAATCCTGGAAGAAGTCCTGAACCAACGCGGGCACCAGGTCACGAAGCTAAGGCTCTCGTGCTAACTTCACGTATCATATAAATGACTAACCATCTTTTGCAGCTAGTGGGAAAGCCAGTGCCTTTCCGGGTGTCGAAAGACTTGCAAAGCAAGTCGATATTCGATGAAGCTATAATGCCCAACCTAAGTCCCTAAAAATGCAGGAGATCAACTCAGTTGCATTTTTACGACTTCTCCGGCCTTCGACACGTGGCGTCGACGTCTATGTCGGCATTGCCTTCGCCTTCGGTAACTTCAACAATATCGCCTCCACCAAAACACCTTTTTCTTAGGAGGGCCTTCGCCAAGCAGCTTTGCAGGAGGGCCTTCGGCAAAACCATGTCAACTAGCCTCCGCCAACGCGACAGCATGAGGGGCTTCATCGACACCTTCATCGTGTACAACAACATCGCCTCTGTCAAACAACTTTTGCAATATGGCTCAAGAACCTCCGTCGACACCTTCGACACCAAGTTCTACAACACCTTCGTCGACGTCTACATCGGCAAACTTGGTTCTGAACACCTACTTCCACTACTATGACTACGTCGACTACACCAATCATGGCTAAAAACTCAGCCACAAACGCCAGCCAAGAGGGGCTAGGGGAGTGCACCGGAGGACCAACCACTCAGGAGCATGAGGTCTTTTGTCTGGCGCTCGTGAGCGAAGATTTAGTCGAAGACCTCCGCCCAAAGAAGGATCAGAGATGAAGACCTCCGCCCGAAGAAAAGTCGAAGACCTCCGCCTAAAGAAGGATCGGAGATGAAGACCTCCGCTCGAAGAAGGATCGGAGATGAAGACCTCTGCCCAAAGAAGGATCGGAGATGAAGACCTCCGCCCGAAGAAAAGTCGAAGGCCTACGGAGGCCATCACGCCAAGACGATACCAGACTAAGAGGTGAAGACCTCAGAGATGAACACCTACGAAGGCTTTGGAAGCAAAGGCCTGAGCATCGTGAAGGTACTAGAGGCAAGGACCCCAAAGATGAAGACCTGGGAAGGCCTCGGAGGCGGAGACCTGCACGTCGAGGTGATACCAGAGGCGGAAGACCCGACAGTGATTGAAGACCCCTGCACCGAGAAGACATGGAGACGAAGGCCCACACATTGGGCCTTGGAGACACACCTGCGCGCCAAAAAGACATCAGAAGCAAAAGGCCTCAAGGATACAGACCTACGCATCATGAAGGTCCCAGAAATGAAGATTAGAGCACTGAGCGAAGCCGATGAACCATGCCATAGAAGCAGCAGAAGGAGCCGAAGGCCATAGATGAAGAAATCTAGAAGATATAGGCACCCAGAGCTAAAAGCCTAAGGAATTAGTGCATGTATAGGTTAGAGTCATGCACATGCTCTTTTCTCCATGCCCTTTTTTCCCACAGGGTTTTTGGGATGGAGTTTTTAGCGAGGCGTGCATGAACGGGTTGCGGAGGGCAATCCTCACAACCAAGATCTGGGTTGTATAGTGCCTCTTCTTGTATGAACATCTACCAGGTCATGTAGTACCGTCCATAACCTAGTAGCTGAGGGGCTACTGTTGGGGGAGCCCATACGGAGTATGGGTCAACTCCCCCTCAAAGAGGCGTGATGAAGGAATAATGGCGGAGGCCTAGCCAGCGGAGGCTCTCCCCAAGACGGCGGAGGCCTAGCAGGCGGAGGCTCTCCCCAAGACAGCGGAGGCCTAGCCGATGAAGGCTCTCCCCAAGACGGTGGAGGCCCAACCGGCGGAGTCTCTCCCCAAGACGGCGGAGGCCTAGCCGGCGGAGGCTTCCCCCCAAGACGGCGGAGGCCTAGCTGGCGGAGGCTCTCCCCAAGACGGCGAGGCCTAGCCAGCTGAGGCTCTTCCCAAGACGGCGGAGGCCTAGTACAAGAATGACGGTGGAGTTTCTCCCTGGGACGATGGAGGCTCTCCCCGGGACAGCGGAGGCCAAGCACAGTAATCATGGCGAAGGTGTTCCCCAGGGCGGCGGAGGCCCATCAAGGAACGATCAGGTCAGCAAGGCATACGTGAGGACAGTTGATGGGCCTCTAGTGGGCGTCGGCTTAGGCCGAAGATGAAGACATCGCAAGACGGTGTGATGAGAACACCCCTGAGGTTAGACACTAGGGCTGGAATATTCCTAGAATGTACCGTAGCAGTTGCGGGGCACTGTTGTAAACTCTGTAAAGTGGTAGTTGAGCCCTATAAATAGGGAACACTTGTAACTGTGAGAAGGAGGTTAGGGAAGCAATTATGAAACCCTAGTGCTTGTGAGTCGGTACTTGATCCTCACTCTCTCCTTCAGGCAGAGCCTAAGCCAAAGCCCGAGTCCGAGGCATCGGCCAAAGCCGAGGGCCTCCGCCCCTTTCTCTTACTCCTACTTGGCCAAAGCCTATTGAATCCCTCGTTTAGCGACCTTCTGTCTGGAGCCTCCGACAGAAGATTTTGTCCGACAGGAGTGCGCTGCGTTCAGGGACCTCCGCCCATCTCGGGTGGAGACCCAGACCTAAGACGAAGGCCTCCGCCTACTTCTCACCCTTGTTAGAAACCGATGTTTCAACAATCACCTTAGTAGCACTCCATAAAAATTTCACATTTATTTGAGCATAGCAACTGCAGTTATGAAAAAGATAAGACACAACTAGTATTAAAAACCTAACTGCATAAATTGATTTTTATAGCAAAAACTTTAAACTAAAGCATGCCATATTATAGATCTACTGCATAGATAATTTCACAAGGATTCAAAAAAAAGTCCACATTTGTTATTTTATGATTTTTCTACTAATTACTACAAATTTTCAAAGTTGATCATTCAAATCTGTAAAAACTAGAGAAAAGGAAATATAAATCTTGCATCGGGGTCCCTGCAGAGAACATAAATCAACATCAGCGAATAGGTCCTTCAGGCACTATTTAAATGAGTCTATGGTTTCATAGAAGGATCCCTCCCTTTCTTCAAATTTGCATACGAAGTCCTTCACGCAGTTAAAACAGAGGAGCACGCTGGGCTTGCTGTTGCCGGCCGGAGGAGTTACGTCGGTGGTGATTGAGTGGCGGGGAAGGACCAGGGGAGTCGTGCACACCCACCAAGCTGCTCAGCCCGGCCGAATACGGTCCAAGGCGGCCTAGCCACGTGCACGGCAGTCACAGCGGGCGGCTGCACGGCGGCGGTGAAGCTCCCGATGGCGGCGAGGCCGGGGATGGGTAGTTCGGGTTCAGGGAAACCACGAGGAGGTGGTGGTGGTGCTGGCTAGGAGCGGGGAGCACGGAACAGCGGCGGCGGCAAGGAGCTCCGCCCGGCCATGGTGGCCATGGCAAGCACAAACCGTGCTTTCGGCCATGAAAGGTGCTCCTGTATAGCGAAAAGTGGGAGTGGGAATGGAGAGGTCAGGGAACAGGGCTCAGGCTCGGCTACTAAAGCGACACGCGACGGCGAGGCGGCGAACGGACAGCGAGCGCGCGAGGCCACGCGACAGCAAGCTTCTGAACAGTCGGCAACGTTCAAAATTTCTGAACTGAATGAACTGATCAATACCACCTCAAATATACAAGCTGAAACTCAATCTTCGGCTCCCTCAAACTCTCAAACCAGCCCGATCCAGCGAAAGGTATAGTAACAAAAATTGTAGATCTAGAAGCGATCTACAAGTTTGTTTACATGACTTTGGGATTATTCGGTTCGGTTTGCAAACTACAGAGCTCTAAACTAGGGTACATGAAAACTGAAACTGCACTTTAGACTTAGAATAGTTCCAAGTGCCAAAACAACATTGAAAACTGCCTTGCGAACCAGTTTTGGGCATGTTTTGCTCATTTCTAGCTCAAGGTCATTAAACAACTTTTGTTCCTTATGAAATTTACTGCAACTTTGTTTAGGGTGCACAGACATGCAAACAGTCTATGGCACTGTTCTAGTTCAGTCAAACAAAAGCACTCAAGAGGAGCACCTAGTCAAACTAAACCCTAGAAGCATAATTAGTCAAAGTCATTAACATGAACATCGTTCCATTAGACATTCTAAGTGTATCTAAGGTATTTTAGTTACCAACATCACCCACTTGCACTCAATCACACATGATCATAAGAATACACATAGGGAAAACATAAAATAACAGGTCATGTTTCACATGTTTCATATGTGAAAGTTCATATAAGGACGCTTGATGCTTATGCTCATGCAATGCAAGTGCAATTATACAAGCCTAACACCTAGGGTGTTACAGCTGGCAGCAGCAGCTCTGGTGTGCTGGCCTCCTAGAACGCCAGCACCGGCGTCTGCACATGGGAAGTCGTGGCGTGCAGCGACGGCGGCTAGGTGGTGTCACTGAGCCTGCCCTCCTACGGGCTCGCCGGCAAGCTCTCCCCGGCCATCGGGAACCTCACGTTCCTGTGGACGCTGAACCTGAGCTCCAACTGGTTCCAGGGACAGATCCCGAAGAGCATCGGCCGCCTAGCACGTCTACAGGCGCTGGACCTTGTTGGCCCCGTGGATCTTCAGCACGGGTAAGCCGACCACACACTATGGCAAAAGGTAGAAGAAGGGAGGGAGAACAGAGCGCGTGCACACACAGCATAAGCACCAGCGTTGGTCTGTAGAGGAGATGGCAAAACTGAACTCGCTCTCTTTACTAAGTTGCAGTGGCAAACTATATATACAACTCTACCCATCTAATCCTAGTACACAGACATGTCAGGCCACCATGCTGCTACAGTAACTAGATGTGACAGCAGGACTGACTTTGACGTCTGCCCTGCTGTGATTACAGTGTGGCAGGAGAGCCTTGCGACGTCTGCCCCTGCAGCGGCTACAGTGCAACAACAGGGAGTCCTTTAGGCGCCGCCTATCCCTATCGCGCGTTCACACAAGGGGAGCAGCAGATTACATAATAATTCTTCCCCTAATCCTGCTGCTAACCCTAGAACCCCCTCCATGCCGATCATCTTCTTCAGCTCCGTGAGTCGAAGACGGCCGAGCGGCTTGGTGAGGACGTCCACGAGTTGCCGACCAGTTTCGACGAACTCGATGACGATCTGCCCTCCATCGACATAGTCCCTGAGGAAGTGAAACTTGACATCGATGTGCTTGCTCCGGTCGTGGAGAACCGGATTCTTCGTGAGGGCGATGGCGGGCTTGTTGTCCGCCATCAGTGCTGGTGGGTGAGCTTCCACACCGGTCAGCTCGCCCAGCAGCCGGAGGTAGCCACACACCTTGGCACGCCGCTGTGGTCGCCGCCACGTACTCTGCCTCGCACATGGACAGCGCCACCACCTTTTGTTTCAGCGACATCCATGAGATTGGAGCCGACCCAAGAAAAACGAGCACGTCAGAGGTGCTCCGCAGTCCGTCGATGTCCCCCGCCATGTCTGCATCGTTGAACACAGTGAGCTGCAGCCTACTTCCATCGGTCTTGGGGAAGACGATCCCCTGATCCACCGTCCCCTTGACGTAGCGCAGCAGCCGCTTCACCGTATCCCAGTGATCCTCTTGGGGATCCTCCATGAAGCGACTGACGTAGCCCACGACGAACGCAATATCCGGCCTTGTGTGGACTAAGTAGCGCAGACCACCAACGATGCTCCGGTAGAGTGTTGCATCTACCTTTGCCGCGGTACTGGCCCGTGGACAGCGCCACCACCTTCTATTTCAGTGACATCCATGAGATTAGAGCCGATCCGAGAAAAATGAGCACATCAGAGGTGCTCCACCGTTTGTCGATGTCCCCCGCCATGTCTGCATCGCTGAACACAGTGAGCTGCAGTCTACTTCCGCCGATCTTGAGGAAGATGATCCTCTGATCCACCGTCCCCTTGACGTAGCGCAGCAGCCGCTTCACCGCAGCTAGTGATCCTCTCGGGGATCCTCCATGAAGCGACTGACGTAGCCCACGACGAACGTAATGTCCGGCCTTGTGTGGACTAAGTAGCGCAGACCACCAACGATGCTCCGGTAGAGTGTTGCATCTACCTTTGCCGCGATACTGGCCTTCATCAGGTTCAGTCGCTCCTCCATCGGAGTCAACAGCTTCGAGGCGTACGCGCTCTGACCGAGCGTGAGCTCCTCTTTTCCCTGTCTCACCTCGATGCCGAGGTAGTAGGAGAGCGCGCCGAGATCGCTCATTCAAAAACGAGACGCCATCTCACGCTTGAAGCTGTCGATGTCCTCAGCACGTGCGCCGGTGACGATCAAGTCGTCTACATGCACGCCGACGATGAGCTCCTCATTCCCCGTCGCCGCATGTAGAGTGCGTGCTTGGTTGCGTACCTCGTGAACCCAAGCTCGCCTAGCGTGGCGTCAAGCTTGGCGTTCCATGCTCGTGGGACTTGCCGCAGCCCGTAGAGCGTCTTACGCAGTCGGAGCACCCTGTGCTCTGCTCTCTTGACGGCGAAACCTGGGGGTTGTCTGACGAAGATCGTCTCCGCCAGCTCGCCGTTGAGGAAGGCCGATTTTACGTTCAGGTGATGGACGCGCGCAATCCTTTGCTGTTGCCAAAGCTAGTAGCAGTCGGACAGACTCCATGCGCGCTACCGGCGCAAAGACTTCCTTGAAGTCGATGTTCTCGCGCTGGACAAAGCCTCGGACGACGAGGCGCATCTTGTGCTTGACAATGGCGCCGCGCTCGTCCCACTTAACCTTGTACACCCACTTCAGGCCGATCGGACGGCATCCTGAAGGTGGATCGACGAGCTCACAAGTCTCGTTTTCCTCGATCGTCTTTATCTCCTCCAGCATCGTCCGTCGCCAATTTGCATCGCGCTCAGGCAGCACGAACGTGGGTGGTTCCTCTGCACTAACGAAAAACAGCTCTGGGTCATTGAGCAGCAGACCCGCCAGGCCTGGCAGGAGAGCCTTGCGGCGCCTATCCCTGCAGCGGCTACAGTGCAACAGCAGGAAGCCCTTTCAGCGCCACCTATCCCTGCCGCGTGATCGCACAAGGGGAGCAGCAGATTACATAAGAGACCTGAGCTACAATGCGTTCTCCGGCACGCTGCCCGCCAACCTCAGCTCCTGCGTCAGCTTACTGCTGTTGAGCCTCAGCAGCAACCAAATCCATGGGCGCATCCCTGTCGAGCTCGGCAACAAGCTCACGCATCTTCGGGGGCTCTTATTGGCCAACAACAGCCTGACGGGCGCCATCCCAGGATCACTAGGTAACCTTTCATCCCTGGACTACCTTGATCTGACAGACAACCAACTCGAGGGTCCGGTACCACATGAGCTTGGCAGCATTGGAGACCTCCAGACCCTTTTCCTCTTTTGGAACAGCCTATCGGGTGTGCTTCCACAGTCCCTGTACAATCTGTCATCGCTGAAGAACTTCGGGGTAGAATTCAACATGCTGTCTGGAACTATCCCTGCTGATATTGGCGACAGGTTCCCTGGCATAGAAACCCTTAGCTTCTCTTACAACCGGTTCAGTGGAGCTATCCCACCTTCGGTCTCCAACCTCTCTGCTCTCATAGAACTTGGCCTCGCAGGAAATGGATTTATTGGACATGTGCCTCCTGCTCTGGGGAAGTTGCAAGGTCTCACTGTCCTGGACTTGGGTGACAACAGGCTACAAGCCAACGACAGTCAAGGGTGGGAGTTCATCACTTCCCTGACGAACTGCAGCCAGCTTCAGAATCTGATTCTTGGCAACAACTCTTTCAGTGGTAAAGTGCCCGGTTCAATCGCCAACCTATCGACGACTCTCGAAACTCTTTATCTGGGAGACAATAGGATTTCTGGAGCTATTCCATCGGACATCGGCAATTTGGTTGGTCGAGCGATCCCGGAGAGCATTGGTAGGCTAGAAAACTTGGTTGAGTTGGGCCTTTACAACACTAGCTTGTCAGGCCTCATACCTCCAACACTAGGAAATCTTACACAGCTGAACAGGCTTTATGCATACTATGGCAATCTAGAGGGGCCCATTCCAAGGAGCCTGGGAAACTTGAAGAATGTATTTGTTTTTGATCTGTCAACAAATCGACTCAATGGTTCAGTTCCCAAAGAGGTGCTAAAACTTCCTCAGCTTTCTTGGTACTTAGACTTATCATACAATGCATTGTCTGGGCCACTCCCAGTTGAAGTTGGTAGCTTGGCAAACCTTAACCAACTGATTCTATCAGCAAACCAGTTGTCAAGCAGCATACCTGATAGTATTGGAAATTGCATTTCACTGGAACGGCTGCTGCTGGATCAGAACTCATTTGAGGGAATCATACCTCAATCTCTGAAGAACTTAAAAGGTCTCGCCTTACTGAACCTGACCATGAATAAGCTGTCTGGTAGTATTCCTGATGCCCTTGCTAGTATTGGCAACCTGCAACAGTTGTATTTAGCACACAACAACTTTTCAGGTTTGATTCCAGCAGTTCTACAGAACCTGACACTATTGTCGAAATTGGATTTGTCCTTCAATGATCTCCAAGGTGAAGTGCCAAAAGGGGGTGTTTTTGCAAATGCAACGTCCTTGTCGATTCACGGAAATGATGAGCTTTGTGGCGGAGCGCCTCAACTACATTTAGCTCCATGCTCCATGGCTGCTGTGGATAACAAAAGACAAGTGTCAAGATCCCTTATGGCCACCCTAATATCAATTGGCGCACTTGTATTCTTAGGTATACTAGTTGCTCTTATTCATTTGATCCACAAGAGGTTCAGACAAAGAAAGGCAAGCCAACTCGTTTCCACACTAATTGATGAACAGTACGAAAGGGTTTCTTATCAAGCATTGTCAAATGGAACTGGTGGTTTCTCAGAGGCTAATTTGCTCGGACTAGGAAATTAGAAGACTGGCCTTTCAATTAGAAGACTAGATTCTAGAAAGCAAATATTAGTTTAAAGTTGCTGATTTGTAGTGCTATTGGCTATATTTTAAGCCTATTGATTCGATTTTTTTTATGACGTGGAAGTGGGAATACCCAAGTTTTAAATCCTAGCTCCGCCACTGCATACAGGTGGATGTGCGTCAAGCCGTGGTGGTCGCCTTCGCTGCCGGCGGCGGCGGCAGCGAGGACGGCGACGGACGACGTCAAGGCAAGGAGGAAGAGGAGGTGGGGAAGCGAGCACGGGACCATCGTGATGGCTGCCTTGTGGCCCTGTGTCGTCCAGTGTTTCCCGGCTTTCATTTAAAATAGGAGTACGTACGAATGTGGCTACGTGGGGGTGGGAGTGGGACGCAAAAATTAGATGATGTTTTCTGTCTCTCTCTTTTTTTTCCTTTTTTTGACAAGGGAGCAATAGATGATGTTGACCTGCCAACAGCTTCGTGGGTGGGCACATGCGAATCATCAGCCTGTTCGTTCGTTTCAGCTGAAACGATGGTGGATTATTATTGTTCGCTATTTTGATGCAAGAGAAAAATACTGTTCTAACTTATAATCCACGATCATTTACGACCAAGCGAACATGCCGCATGGTGGTGGTTGTGCGCGCCAGCTGCCTCCCTTTTCTATAAAGCCTTATTTAGGGCAACTCCAACCTGCCTCTATCTCAACTCCTATCTTATTTTTGAAGATTCAAACATAAAATTTCATCTCCAACCAATCCCTCATCCAAACCCTAATGGATGAGGGTCTCCTATTTCTCTCTCCTCATCTCCTAGATGTGGGGGACTCTCAACCAATCCCTCATCCTCCTAGGAGACCAACGGCCTGGTTCCCCCATCGCCACTGAGTTTTCCGTTCAGGTGCGCGCGGCCGCTTCCTTCTTTTACCTGTGGCCTTCATCCCTGCCCGCGCTCGCTCAAGGGCAACGGGTGACCTGTATTCATTGAGAGAGTGAGGGAGAAGAACCTGTGCGTTGTGGATCTGGCCGCGCCGGCCACGCTCCGATCTCCTGCACGCGCGCTCGTTCCACAGAGGCCAGCTCGTCGGTGCGCCCGAGTGCAGCCCCATCTTGCCGCTGCCGCACCTGTATGTGCGGCCGCCGCTGCTCCGAACCAACCCTGCAAGCTTTGGCATTATTTAATCAAGCTTTGCCGCTGCTCCCAACCGACCCACGTTGCCCCACCCGTAGTTAGCATGGTGTGTTGTGAGGGAGCTGTGAGAGTGGCGTGAGGAGAGAAAAAATAATAGTTGCCAATCATTTGAAAAAATAATTCCTCCAATATTTAGCCGTAAAAAAATGTTGTTAACAAGTATCCATTACAATAATACTAACACGGTTTAGATATAAAATACTGGACTTGGTAGTTAGAAGTTATGTATAAAATATTGGTGAGAGAAATTAGGGAGGCTAAAATGAGAGTTTGGTTGGAGTGCATAGAGAAATGAGGGCCGAAATCTGGACGAGGGATCCTTATTTGTGAGAGTAGGGGGCTAAATTTTGAGAGATTGGTTGGAGTTGCCCTTAGATTGAGAGCTTAAGGTTTTAGGGTGTCGCATCGGATATTACATGTGGTGTCGCATAGGGTGTTCGGATACTAATAAAAAATAAATTACAGAATGCGGCAGTAAACCGCGAGACGAATTTATTAAGCCTAATTAATCCATCATTAGCACATGTGTTGCTATAGCACTTTATTGTCAAATCATGGACTAATTAGGTTTAAAAGATTCGTCTCGCAAAGTAGTCGTAATATGTGCAATTAGTTATTTTTTAATCTATATTTAATACTCCGTGCATGTGTCTAAATATTCGATGGGATAGAGTGTAAAGTTTTGGCGGAGGATCTAAACAAGGCATTAGTCTAATTTTTATTTATATACAAGGGTTGCGGTTGAGAAAAAAGAAGAAGAACAATCGTTACTCTTAAACACGTTGACCAAGTAGTATATTTTTTTTGAAAATACGACACAGATGGCCGTCTGTCTTCTAATAATAGGCTTAGCAGCTTAGCGCTCACTCTTCATTCCTTTATTGCTTTTGGTCAACGTGTTCTAGCCAAAGGCTGAAACTGAAAGTTGATTTTCAATAAAAAAAGGATTATATGCAAACTTTTCTAGTTATCGGAATAAAGAAATTATTTTATTCTAAAAACATATCCGTGCAATCCCTTTTGGTACACGCAACTCTCCTGTCTCTCTCAAATTTGGGAAGGTTTCGGGTGCTTTTCATCTCTCTCTCATCTCACTCTGGATCGATCTTAATTGTAAAGTCCAGTGTGGCAAGCACGATCATGGCCCCATTCACCTTCCCTTAAAACCGGCTTCTTCAGTTTTTTTTTTCATCCAGAATAGTGTTTTTCATCAATATTCATCCAAGTTTCCTCCAGCCGAACGGGCCCTGCATATCTGGAGTCATTCCAGGGAGCATTCAGCATTGGCATGTTGGCAAACTTGGTTATGCTAGGTGTTTTTTTTTTTGGTGACAAATGGTTATGCTAGGTTGTTCAACACTGATTTGTCAGGCGGAATACCTCCATCGATTGGAAATCTCTCAAAGTTAACTATCCTTGATGCATACCTTGCAAACCTGGAGGGATCAATATTCCAGCAACCATAGGGACAATGAAGAATCTGATATCCCTTGATCTTGACATACAACCGCCTCAACGGTTCCATTCCAACAGATGTAATATGTTACCTGAAATGAATAAAGCCATACATGCTCAGATCTGTACTTCTTTCCATTAGATTAGAGTGAAAACTAAAAGGCAACACTTATGCACAATTTGCACATTTACGCATGCAATGTTTGAAGCTCCACAGCAGTGGCACACCGCACATCAACCATAGTTGGTGCAAAGATTTCCTATTTTGATGCACTACAGGAATTTCATAGTTGGAAACAAGCAGTGCATGCACGAGTTACGGAGTTAGAGTTACCACGCACATAGCAATCATTTCACAACCTGAGCAATAACCAATCCTCTATTCCATTTCTTCACAACAATCATTAGTCCAACAGAAATCGCCTACTATCCCAGGTTGATGGTGCAAAAGTCAACTAGGGAACTAACTACAAGTCTACCCAGAAGCCATCATCAATAAGTTTCTGTTTCTATTCACTATTGTCACTTATGCTAATAAATAATAGGAGTAGGAGGCACCACTGTAAAGAGGAAACACCACCCTACTCCTAGAAGTAGCGGATGGAGGAAACATGCAAGTAGGAGGAATAGAGGATGTGGATATGGAGGTGCGCTCGGAGATAGCATGCTTTTACGAGCTCTCCTGGCGCGGAGCGGATCGGACGAGGCCCTTTTGGAAGACGTCGTCGATGAAGGATAGAAGGAGTTCTTGACAGGTGGCCCTGTGGTGGCGAGGCAATGGGCGCTGCGCAGTGCCCCCTCTCAAAATCCCCTCTTCCACGGCGTCGCGAATGAGTCGCGCTGGCAGCAGCAGAAGCGCAAGCCTTCTTCCTAGGCTGTGTCACTGTCCATTAGTCTCGTTTGTGTAATAACGAAATCTGTATCTACATGCTAAGATGTCCAGCCCACAGCTATAAAACTGTATACCTCCTAGAGCGCTCGCAGAAGCATGTTGGTATATCAAACATTTCTACCTTAGATGCGTAAATCTTTTGCGTATTTAAGAAAAAAAATCCCCTCTGCGGCGAGGCAATGGGCACTGTGCTCCGGGAGGCGCCGAGAACTTTTGTTGAGTCGTGCTGTGTAGCCACATTGGGCTGATGGGTTGAACCAAAGAAGAGGAGAGTTGGACAGCTCAACTCTGAAGGTTTCGTGTCCTGGCGGATTGTCCACATCTTTGTTGGACCGTGGAGAATTTTTATTTTTAATCATTTTTAATCCATATTTTAATAATAACCACTTCAAAAAAATATTTTTAGATCTGACCCTTTTGATCGCGGCGTGACCAAACAACGCTGTCGCTCCAATGCATATGGTGCGGCAACATTTTCCATGTTGGATGGCGTTTCCAACATGGAAAAGCTTGTCGCGCCACTCCCGGTGGCGTGACAATAGACAAGACTAAATTTTAAAAAAAAACATAACTCTTCAATACGACGTTAGATGAAGATAATTTTTATATGAAAATTATAGATCTCGATGAGATCTACAACTTTTTATTTTTAAGTTTTTTTCGTTTGAGGACGTTAAGACGCTAAAAAAATTAATATAAAATTTCAGTACCATAATAATCATATACCAGCGCTTACCGCATTTAAAAAATAATATCTTTTTTGTATGGTGTCAAATTAAGATACATTTTATATCAAAGTTGTAGCCCTCAATGAGATCTACAAGTTTATAGTTTTGAGTTTTCATATTTGAGGTCGTTAACATACTCTAATAACTAATATAAATTTTTAGCAGCATATTAATCGTGTATCAAAACTTATCTTTTTAGAAAAATCGTATATTTCTTATTTGATGTCACATAAAACTACTTTTTAAATAAAAGTTGTAGACCCGTTCGAATCTCCAATTTGGATATAAAGAGTACCTTCATTTGACACGATACAAAAACGATATTATTTTTTTAATACGACAAACGCTATTACGCGATTATTATGCTACTAAAATTTTATATTATTTTTTTAAACATCTTAACGATTTCAAATGTTAAAACTCAAAATTATAAAGTTGTAGATCTCATTGAGAGCTACAGCTTTCATGTAAAAATATCTTCATTTGACAACATGCAGAAACGATATTATTTTTCTAATGCGACAAGTACTACTACGCGGTTATTATTTTCCTAAATTTTTATATTATTTTTTGAGCATCTTAACGACTCCAAATGTTAAAACTCAAAACCACAAAGTTATAGATCTCATTGAGAGCTATAACTTTCATGTAAAAATTATCTTCATTTGACACATACAGAAACGATATTATTTTTCTAATACAACAAGTACTAGTACGCGGTTATTATGCTCCTG